TGTATCTTGACATGATGCGATGGAAATGACAATTTACCTCTGTGGTTTTCTTCTCCAAATCCCATAACCCCAGTCTAATCATGAGAAAAATACTAGGTAATTCCAGTTGAGGAACATTCTACAAAATCTAACCAACAGCCCTAAAAATAGTAAAGGTCATTGAAAACAAGGAAAATCTGAGAAATTGTGATAGCCAAAAGGAGCCTAAGACAATATGAAAAATAAATTGTATTTTAATATAAATGTTTACACTAAAGAAATAAAAAATAAAGCATCAACTTTATTGAATAGTAATATATTAAAATTGGTTCATTAATTACAAAAAATATAGCATATACAATGTAAGATATTAATAAGAGGAAAACTGATGAGGGATATATGGGAATTCTCTGTACTGCTTTGCACTTTTGCCATAGATCTCCTTTAAAAAAGAAAAATTGACCAGACAGTTGTGCACACCTGTGGTCCCAGCAACTCATGAGACTGAAGCAGGAGGATCACTGGAGGATCACCTGAGCCCAGGAGTTCAAGGCCAGTCTAGGCAACATAGGGAGTCCCCAGTCTCAAAAACAAAATAATAATAGAATTTTTTTTTAATGACACTCTATGACTAAAGTTGAATCTGTTACTCTGAAGACATGGTGACTGTTAACCTCCTCAGAAATTAAGCTGTTGTTCTTTTAGTAGCAGCCATATCACTGCGGGAGGCTCTTACAGTGCTTTCTCTTTAAGTACCACTGTCCTCCCCTCTTAGTACTGCTGCTCGGATTTTGCAACCTTATTCACTTTCACCACCTAATCCACAGAGGGAAAACAATCTCAGTTGCAAACAGCAAATTTTGATCCTTTAATTTTCACTGGGTGCCTGGTTGGAGCCAAGTAAACTGTGCTGTCTTCTGGGAAGATAACAATGGAAGTCGTGACCCTTGTGATGAAGGTGCTAACTGTTTAGTGGGGGACAAATGTCTTCCCAATCCATGCTACTCAGTCTGAAAGTATGTAAGATGAAGGAGACAGGGGAACACCCAGGGGAGGCAATGTCACTTCGACCTGGGGAGGCCAGGGTATTCCACAGAGGAGAAGATGCCTAAATCAAGGCTTAAAGATTTAGTAGGAATTTTTCAGGGAAACAAAGAAGAGGCAGGAACCTCAGCAAAAGGAACAGAGGTGCAAAGGCAGCCAGGCTGGAGCCAGAGCACTGGGGGAACTTCCACATCTGGGGAATGTGGAGATGGATCAGGGGTGAATGGTCCAGGCAGGAGGTGAGGCTGGAGGGAAATCAGGTGGAGTCATGATGAGCCTCCTGCTCCAGGGCAAGGAGTCAGGACTTTCTCCTGATGCACAGTGTAGCCCATGAAATGTTTTTGAATGGGGAAGTGATGTGATGTTGACTTTAGCCATTTCCCTTGGCACCAGTCTGGGGAGGGTCTGTCCATAGATCATGTGGGGAGTAGGAAGTACCACCAGCCGCTAGGGTGCCTAAGACAAGATGGCCTTGCAACAGGCTGGTGTCAGACAGTGACTCCCACACAGCAGTTCATTTTGGACCAAACATGTCCAATGTTTGGTCCAAAATGAAAATTGCTGCTGCTCTCGCCAACCTCAGTGCCTTTTGTAAATCATTTTTAATTTTCCTGAATTAACTTTTTGAGACTACACAATAATATTAAGTAGGTATCACTTTTCATATGTAAAATTTCCAAATTGAACTGTGTAAAAAATGTTTATTTCATTGATACACATGTTAGTTGGGAATATTGGAATTAATATTTAGGTCTTAAATTCAGGTTTGTTACATAGGGGGTTTTCATTTGTTGTTGCATGGACAAGCTCTGGATACAAAACAGAAACAGCACAGTCTAAATATTGGCATTTTAAATTTTTTTTAAGTTGTCAATGGACTGCAGCAGTCTGGCTGGGCACAAAATCACGAGCCACCACACAGCTTGTAGATTCAAACAGCAACTCTTTATTCCCGAACTCACACCAGCCGTCTACAATCACGTTCTGGGGAAATCCACGTTCTCTGCCCAAATCCACCCCCACTGGGCTTCTGTCTCCCAAAAAATACTGTCTGAATCCCGTGAGAACTCAAGGGGAACTCAGGCAGCAGGATACGCCCTATTCCCAGCAGGAATAACCTTAAACCTGGAACCACCCTAAACCCGGATAGTCCTAAACTGGGAACACCCTAAACCCGGATTATCCTAAACCGGGAACACCCTAAACCCGGATCCGCCCTGGTCCTTGAGCAAGGTCACCTTAGATGCAATGTCACTGCAAAATGTCCTGTTTCCACGAGTCCTTCCACTAAGCAACATGGGGTACGCTGGCAAGGAAATTGTCATACCTACTTGGCTAATGGCTCCCAGCAATGGACCTTTATTTTATTCATTTATATGTGGTGTTGAGAATCAAACTCAGTGTCTCACACATGCTAGGCAAGTGTCCTACCATTGAGCTACAACCCCAGCCTTAAACGGTGGCATTTTTAAAAGATCTGTGTTCTGAAAAAAAATCAACACATGGATGTTACACTCACAGTGATGATCTATTTTCTCTAAAGTCTTAGTTTATTATTCTATTTATTGTAAATATGCAAATTGAAATTAAAATAGTTTTTGCTTTAAAAAATAAGAAAATGGGGAATTGACATCAAATACACAGTTTACAAAGACAATTTCAGTTGCAGTATGGGGATGGATTTGCAAGTGAAAAGAGGAAAGAGGACAGGGGAAAGTGCAGTTGCCCAAACTTCCCTCTTACCTGAGTATTCTGACAGTTAAACCATTTCCAGAGTTTACACTGAGGTCTTGATGATGAGATGTTTTCAAAGGTTCCCCCCAACACACACATACTCTGATGCTGGGCTTCATACATGCTGGGCAAATGCTCTACCACTGAGCTACATCCCCAGCCTCTCACTGGAGTGTTAAGGAAGAAATGCAAGAGAACAAAGGTGACCCAAGTCCTGTCCAATCCAAGTGTTGAGTCATTGGGCTCTGGCTTGTGGGGGTGACCTCATGCCTTATATCCACCTACATCACTCATTTGACAATTGTTCAGTCAGTCTTATTTCCTGATCTTTGTGTAGCAGTTACACCCATGTCTCAATTTCTTCAAGATCATCAATGGCAGGATGGTAGTTGCTGATCACCAAGTTTTATTACCATCCCTGAAATTTGGTTTGGGAGGAGAGTTAGACTTAGTTATATTATTATAACTTCTAGTCTATTGTACAAGTGAGCTTTTGGACACCAGAGAGTATATTCTCCAAAGAGACCCTTTGAACACAAGACCCTGAGCTTAGTCTAGACTAGGTGTTAGCAAACTGCAGCCTTGTGTGCCAAAGCTTGCCACCTGTTTTTGTAATTAAAGTTTCATTGGAACACAAACTGCTCACTTACATATTATTATGGCTGCTTTTATACTATAACAGCAGAGCTCAGTAATTGCAACAGAGACACCATGGTGTGCAAAGCCTAAGATATTTAATATTTGGTCCCTGACAAAATAAGTTTAATGAGCCTTGATCTAGACCATGCTGCTCAATAGAAATGTAATGCAAACTACAAATGTAATTTTATATTTTTCTAATATCCACATTTGCAAAAGCAAAAAGTAACGGGCGAAATCAATTTGAATCATGTTTTATTTAACCAATATCCAAAATATTGCTTCAATGTACAATCAGTATTAAAAATGATTAATTTTTCTTATTTTATTTTTGTGATGCTGCAAACTAAACCCAGGGACTTGTACATACCAGGCAAGTGTTCCAGCAGCCCTACATTCTTTTTTCAAACTGAGTCTTCAAAATACAGTGTGTATTTCACACTTATAGTACTATATCTCAAATCCGACTGGCTGCATTTCAGGTGCTCAACAGCCACATATGACTAGTGATTACTGTGTTAAAGAGCACAGCTCTGAACTCTGAGACCCTCCAAAGAGTGATACCAGCCCCATATCTTGGTCCTGAGGGCAGCATTGATAGGGTCTTTAGCTGCAGGGAACATTTGTGCAGCCAGCTCTCCTGGGCCTTGGAAACCTGATTGCTCCAAGTCCTGCCTCAGGGCTCTTTGCTCTCTCAGAAAATAAATGTACTTTCCAGTTATAAACTGCATCAACCTCCCAGGGGCTATGCTAAGCCTACACTTTCAGAATGAGTCATCCTTAGAGCCACTTGTGTGATTTGTGGTGGTTCAGCTCTCTCGTTCAGAGTCCTTCCTTTAGTGGTTCAGATCATACAGGACATGGAAGTCAGAGTAGGTGTGACCCCACTTCCCCTAATCCACCAGAGCTAGAGGGACATCCTACTGGAGGCGAGGCTGGAGGAACGTTTTGTATGCAGGCAGACCTTGGCGGAACTTGCAGGCTTGTTCCTTATTTTCCCCAGCCTTTGTTATAGAGCGTATTGTCAGGGAATGTCTGTGAGCTCTTTCTCCTGGTGTTTCTTCCGTGTATTGTTTTCCTACTTAGAAAGAAGGGGTCATGCAGAACAAAAGCTAAATGTGTATCCTTTTTATTACAGGTGCTTCGTGGTTTCCTTGATCCTGCCTCAGAATGTAGCCACTGTTTCCCCTAGGAGTACTATTTTCTTTCTCCATCAGGATCTTTATTCAGGATATCTTTCCAATTTCAATATCCTCCTGTTTTGTGCATTGACCTAATGTCCTTTATCTGTGGCCTTGTGACATCCTTTTCTATCATTAATGGACATGACTTATCCACTCAACATATGTTTACTGAGCACTCTCCTATGCCCTGCAGAGTTCTGAGCCCTGGAGAGACAGTAGTGAAGAGGACCCAAAAGTTTCAAAGATCTCAAGTGGGAGACACAGACTCTTTAGAAGCACAATTCTAGAGCTCAGCAAGACACACAATGACTTGGGAGGGAGGAAGGAAGGGAAAAGGGAAGGAAAGGAAGAAAGAAAATGCTTCATGTTCTCAGACCAGGTACAGAGAGACCTACTTATGGTTTGCTTTTGTTCCTCTAGGCCAAAGCCCAGAAAGTCCTGCAGAAGCTGAGTGATGTGCAGGAAATATTTCACAAGAGGCAAGTGAGTCTGATGAAATTGGCAGCCAAACAGACTCGCCCAGTGCAACCTGTGGCCCCCCATCCTGAGTCCTCCCCAAAGTGGGTGTCACCAAAAACCAACCAGCCCTCCGCCTTGGGTAGGTTATTTGGGAGAAGGAAGTTTTGTGGCTTTTGTGTTTCATCAGTGAACTTGAGGATTGAGATTGTGGTTTCCTAAGATGTATTGAGGTCATTGTTTCATCAAATGACAGTCATGACATGGTGCAGACCCTGAAGACTTTTGTAAGCACTTAGATGACACTGAGTGCAACATACAAGGAGAAGCTCACAGTCTAGAAAAGGAATAATACAGATGCACAAATGACACTAGCATGTAGCAGACTCTGTTAAAAGCCTTTAAAAGTCCACAGTTAATTAGTAATGGAGTGGTAAGATTGGCTCTTGGAAAAGATAAAAAACAAAAATAGGTAAGTCATTGCACCAATCCCATAGAATTTTATTACGATAACTTATTAGTAAGACTTAAGATCAGGTGATGTAAATATTTTTCAATATTCTTTTGGTTATTTTAGGTTCTGCTCATTTCCATATAAATTTCAGAATGCTGTTTCAAATTCTGCTGGGCTTGTGAATAGGATCATACAGATACATGGACCAGTTTGAGGAGAACTATCATCTTAAAACTATTGAGTCTTTCCATTTCTGAGTGTTATAAGTCTTCATTTATTTTAGTCATCTTTAATTTCTCTTAACAGTATAGTAGTTAAGAGAGTAAAAGTCTTGGACATTTCATGTTTATTTTTAGCCTGTAGACAATGAAGTTTATCATATATAACTAAGAATAAGAATATATTTCGTTTTTATCTTTATCCCTTTTTCCCTTTCTCTCAGTGGAATGGCTGGGACCCCCCCCCAATGTTTTATAGAAGTGACAGCAGGGATTCTTGTCTTTTCTCAATATTAGGGGAAAGAGTTCATGGTTCACCTTTAACGATCATGTGAGCAAACTTTTCCATAGATGCCTTTTATCAAATGGAGGAATTTCCCTTTGATTTCTAGTTTTCTGTGAGTTTTTTCTCACAAATAAGTACTGAATTTTTCAGATACTCTTCATGGTGAATACAAATACATTGAGATTATCATGTGGCTTCTCTCCATGTGATTCCCTTTTATGACAGTGGATTACAAGGATTTATTTTCAAATGTTAAAGCAACTGTACATTGCTGGGATAAACTGCTTGTGGACGTGATGTATGTCATTTTTCACATCATGCATTGTAAAACTTTGATATTAAGCACATACATATTCATAATTTTCATATCTTCCAGACCTACTAGCCCTTTTGTAATTGTGAAATATCTGTTTTCCCCTCCTTCTGTTTAGTAATATTCTTCAAGTCTATTTTGTCTAATATTAATGTAGTAATCATTTCATCTTTCCTACACTTAATGTTTGCATGGTGCATCTTTTTCTATTCTTTCTTTATAGTTATAGTTAGGAACATACAGTTATGCCTTTCTTTAAATACATTTTTTTCACATCTGCCTTTTAATGCATTGTGTGTGTGTGTGTGTGTGTGTGTGTGTGTGATGCTGGGGATTGAACTCAGGGCCTTGTATATTCGAGGTAAGCACACTACCAACTGAGCTATGTTCCCAGCCCCTACATCTACCTTTTAAGTGGCATGTTTAGTCCAACTACATACAAAGTAAGTATTGAAATAGTTGGATTCAGAATAGCTATTTGGTTTTCTGTTGTCTAGTGGTCTTATGTATTCTTGTTCCTGTTTTCCTCCTTTTCTGCCTTCTTCTGTCTTACCAAATATTTTTTTAATATTCGGTTTTAATTCCTCTATTAATTTTTTAGCCTACTTTTCTGCATAGTTTTACCCTAGATATTTCTGTAGGAATTATCATATGCATCTTTAATTTAGCATAGTTCCACATGTCCCCACTGATCATCCTCTGTTCTATTCTTATTATAAATAATATTACATCTATATATGTTAATCTTCCATTGTGGTATATTTATATATATATATGAATGTGTGTGTGTGTGTGTGAGTGTGTGGTTGCCACAGTCTGGCTGGGCACAAATGCCGCAGTCTGGCTGGGCACACAATCACGAGCCACCACACAGCTTGTAGATTCAAACAGCAACTCTTTATTCCCGAACTCACACCAGCCGTCTACAATCACGTTCTGGGGAAATCCACGTTCTCTGCCCAAATCCACCTCCACTGGGCTTCTATCTCCAAAATATACTGTCTGAATCCCGTGAGAACTCAAGGGGAACTCAGGCAGCAGGATACGCCCTATTCCCAGCAGGAATAATCTTAAACCTGGAACCTAAACTGGGAACGCCCTAAACACGACTATCTTAAAACCGGGAACACCCTAATCTGCCTTGGTCCTTGAGCAAGGTCACGTACATTCAATGTCACTGCAACATGGGGTACGCTGGCAAGGAAATTGTCATACCTACTTGGCTAATGGCTCCCAGCATCTCCCCCCTTCTGATTAATTAAACAACAAGCAATGTGGCTTAAGGACCGTGCCTGGTAGGTTGTCCAATTCAACATATGGTTCTTACCCGTCATCGGAAAACTGACCTTTAGGCGTCAGCCTCCTGTCTTAGGTTGATACCACTGCAATTGAATCATACCCGTCACTGACTACCGGTCCAGCATACAGCCATACTTGTGGATAGGTCTATGCACCAGTGGGGGGGTGAGGTTCTTTGCCTCACCTCTGTTGGCCCCCAAATTTGGCCTTGGTGCCAGTGGGGGAGTGAGGTTAATGTGGCTTATGGACCGTGCCTGGTAGGTTGTCCAATTCAACATATGGTTCTTACCCATCATCGGAAAACTGACCTTTAGGCGTCAGCCTCCTGTCTTAGGTTGATACCACTGCAATTGGATCATACCCGTCACTGACTACCGGTCCAGCATAAGCCATTGGCCCCCAAATTTTAGACCATCACTAGCAGAAGGGAGGAGGATACAGAAATGCCATGACACCAAGCCAATTGACGGCTCCTTGGGAAAAATTGCATCACTGGTGACACCATCAGCAAAGATATGTCAGCACTACCACAATTAACATGGGGTGCGCTGGCAAGGAAATAAAAATTGCATCACTAGTGACACCATCAGCAAAGATATGCCAGCATTACCACAATTCGCTGCACCAAACGATAGTTACATAGTCCAGGCAAGTTCTGCAAGCAGTTCAAAGCAGAGGAATCTATCAATATGTCCATTTCCTCCCAAAATCCGTTTCCTCCCAAAGTAAGTTGACTCTTTGATTGAGCATTACTTGTTGAGTTCTTCACCGGCACTGGGATGGAGATAGGAATTCTGGCAATGATGCTAAAGAGACATTATCCTGAAAAGAATTATTAAATATAATGAAAAGGAAAGGTGAAAGTAAACAAACAGATCTGTTAACCTACTTTAGAAACAATCCTTAACAGCTTTTTACCTAATTTAAATTAGTAAACAAACAGATCTGTTAACCACCTTTAAAAACAATCCTTAACAGCTGTTTACCTAATTTAAATTAAACCATTTAAATCACGTGAATAAAAAAAATAATAATTCGGATCCATTTTTTCATGAGCGCTCCTCATATAAGAAATATGGACATACGCACATACAGACATACAACACAAAAGACAAGAGTGTACACAAACGTACAACACATAAGAAAATAGTAAAGGCCTTGTAGCTTTACCTAGGTGAAATCTCCATTGCAATGTTTAAAAACTCCACAGTCAAAAAATAAAACTGATCAGAAAAACATTAACCTAGGTTTGTATGAGCTCAAAAAATAAAAATAGAACCTTATGATGTGGAAAAATGCAATAATAAAATAGCTATTGAAAAAAGCATCCTGGTTAATCACTGTCGCAGATGTAAGAATGGCCAAGCTGGAGTTCTGGATATCAGCTGTTATGGATTTGAGTCAAATCATCTTCTTTTCGATCTGTAGAAACTGTTTTAGTTAATCTCTCTGGAATCCAAATGGGCTGCTGTTCTCCCTGTGGAAAAACACAAACAGACCCCCGACTCCAGACAATCACTGGGTCAGGACCTTTCCATTGTCCTGTTAGAATATCTTTCCAAAGTACTTTAGGCTTATGTACATTTTTTGGATACATATGCCTTTCCGCAGCACTAAGTCCTGATGAATCCAAATTTAAAAAGTTTAGAGTAAAAAGCGTTATTTTAAGTTTATCTTTGGGGGATATATACCCCCTTCCAATTCCCTCTTTTTGCTTTAATAAGTATATGTCTGTATCTAATAGTTGTCTTAGCTTTTTGCATTTTCTATCTGTGTAATACCTTACTTGACATTTTCAACCATTTTCTATCTTATTTCTATCTTCTAGTTTTTTTCCCTAAGGTTTGTATTTTTACCCTTAGTTGCTTATTTTCCTCCTAGTTTTTTTTTTCCTATTTTGTGGGTATAAAATTCTTGTCTTCCTACATTTTTTTATCTTTCTACATCTTCTTTATCTTTATTCTTTTTAACTTTCTATACTTCTGTCTTTAAAGTTTTTCACTTTAAATTTTTAATCTTCTTTATCTAAATATCTTTTATCCTATTATCTTCCCATTTTTTTAAAGTAATGCCTTTAAGATTAAGCTTCTTTCCTCCATCATGAAGGCATTTTAACCATCTTCAATTTAACCTTTTAAAGCCTTTTAATTATCATCTATACTGTACTTTTAAATGTACTTTTTCACCACCTACAGCTTCACTCTTTTAAACGAGGCTTAGATTTTGTTTAAATCGCTTCAATGTTAGTTTACATGGCTGCCTTTCAACCAAAGGCTTTTTTTTTAACTCCATTGAGAAGCTTTGTCTCAATCTGCCATGTACAAATATCTTTTTCTTCTTTCTTCCTTTCTCAAGCTTTTAAAGTAAGTCTAGTTTCCTCAAAATCTTTTTAAATGGCATTTTACAACTTTTTACTTTACCACACAGAGATTATCTCATCTAGAAACATTTCTTTTTCCTTTAACCTTTTATATTAAAATATATTCCCACATCTTGAATCTTTTTATATCTCTTTTTTAACTGTTAACCCTTTTTATAAATTTACATTCTGAAACAACTCTTATAAAATTTCTGATTTAGACAAATTACTCCACTTTAATAAGATGAAAGACTTTCATGTTTTTTATGATACTATAATACTATAATTGAAACCCAACTGAAACTTCTTATACTCTTTGTATATAAATTACACATGATAGAATCTTAACTCTTAGTAACCTTGTTTTAGCAAAGACACAGACCAAAGCAATATTAAACCTTTTTTCCATTCACCAATTTATGAAAACACACATGCTTAAATATATTACCTTATGTAACTTAATAAGTAAAGAGTGGTTGATGTTTCAACATTTTAGCTTTGTAAATTAATCAGAACTTTGTAGAAACCAAGATCTTAGACAAGTGTAGCAAACAGAACTAGCCATCTCTTTCTTGTTGAAGAAAAATCCTTCTACAGGATACCATGGTGGTCCCATTGATATACTTAATAACTCGTCTTTAAAAAGCCATGGGCTACATTTTTGTATTGTATCAACATATGCCCTAATTGTTCTTGGTCTCACTGGGGTGCCTCCTTCCTCTAACAATTTCTCTTGCTCGGAGGTGAACAACTTCAAACCTTGAGTCAACCATTTTCCCCAGTTTGCCTGAGAAAGTTCTAGGAACAGGCAACTTGAAATAAAAACAAAATAAGTCAAAACAAGAACACATTGTTTTTTGAATTGGTCACCCATTCTTTCGCTCTTCTTCAGGGGTGAGAAATTTCACTTACCTTTAAGCTTCAGAAGTTCCCCGCACGGGCCGCCAAATGCCACAGTCTGGCTGGGCACAAATGCCGCAGTCTGGCTGGGCACACAATCACGAGCCACCACACAGCTTGTAGATTCAAACAGCAACTCTTTATTCCCGAACTCACACCAGCCGTCTACAATCACATTCTGGGGAAATCCACGTTCTCTGCCCAAATCCACCTCCACTGGGCTTCTATCTCCAAAATATACTGTCTGAATCCCGTGAGAACTCAAGGGGAACTCAGGCAGCAGGATACGCCCTATTCCCAGCAGGAATAATCTTAAACCTGGAACCTAAACTGGGAACGCCCTAAACACGACTATCTTAAAACCGGGAACACCCTAATCTGCCTTGGTCCTTGAGCAAGGTCACGTACATTCAATGTCACTGCAACATGGGGTACGCTGGCAAGGAAATTGTCATACCTACTTGGCTAATGGCTCCCAGCATGTGGTGCTGGGATTTAGCCCAGAGCTACGCACATGCTACGTATGTGCTCTATCATAGCACCTAAATAAATAAATGTTTACTTATTTAGCTGCTAAGGATTGAACCCAGGGCCCAACACATGCTAAGTACATGTTCTGACATTGAGCCACACACCTCCCAGCCCTGGTGTTATAAAGTTTAGAAAATTACATAAGAAAAAGAGAAAAAGTTCCAGGTTAAACAAATATTCATGTCTGCACAGGTTGCCCTTGACCTCGGGCAGGCAACCAGCTCATTTTGCAGAATAATCCTACACTTTTGTTTTTGGCAAGTAACCACTATATGTGGACTCCAGTGGTTAACTAATGGGATTTTCAAACACATTTGTCTGATTCCTTAGTAACTGAGTTTGTGCCAAGATAAACAGTGGTATTCCATAACATAAAGGAGGTGAGTGGAAGAGCTTAGAGGTGAGAGCTACCATCTCAGCCGAGTGCCTTTGGTGCAACACTGAACCTCTGAAGTTCATAAGGAATGTGAAAAAAAAAATTTAATGCTGTGGCTATAATAATAGCTAAAATGTATTGAGTCCTAACTCTGATCTGTATACTTTACATCTACTAACTCATTAAAGCCTCATAACAACCCTATGTTGTAGGCTTTCTTATGACCTCCCCCCTTTTACAGATGAAGAAGTTAAGGTTCAGAGATTTCTCTGATCATAATATAATATTAGTGGCATTAGATGGATACATGTTGGTATAGGACCTAGAAATATTCAAGTTCTGCCTCTGGTTAATCCATGTATTCTGTAACTCCAAGATAGTGACAGTGACAAGAACTCTAAGTACTATTCACTTATTAGCCTTGTGGCCATCATTCCCAACACTGGATCAAGCTGATAAAGCAGATTAGAAAGCCTGCCCAGGGCTTCTCTTCCACAAGTGCCAGTCTTACTACCAATGAACATGGAGCATGAAGAAAGTATACCTCCAGGTGCTTGAGAGCCTTGTGGGAAGGAGAGAAGGCAGATAAAGTGACTGAAAGAGGAAAGAAAGAGCAAGACAGCCCCATTCCTTCCTGACTCAATTAATTGATTCTATCATACAAGCATGGATCCATTGGTTCTGAAATTCAACCACTACATCATCAGATCAGCAGCAACTTCCTCTGGTTAAGTCAGGCATGGACATCCCATTACAGTCATAGTATGAGTGACATCATGTGTGTGTGTGTGTGTGTGTCTGTGTGTGTGTGGAGAGACAAAGAGCATTTTAAAGAAAACTCTAAGGAAATATGCTAAGTGATTGTGTTTAAATAGTAAAATTTTAGTATTTTCCAAATTTTCTCTAAGTACAAGTTAATTATTTTTTAAAATGAAAAGATATTCAATCAAATGTGGTTCCTAGAACTTAGTCTTCTAATTCAAGAACACGTTCAAATGCAGTATTATACAGCATAAGTAAATCATTCTGTAATTTGAAGCATGTTAATAATTCTTTTATGCTTAGCATAAAAGAGTTCATACAATTGTGCTAATCTGGAAAGTCTTCATGAAGCAGGTGGCCTATGAGGTGACCATTAAGAATGGGAATGATAAAATGGAAAAGAATGGATAAAATTCTATTGTTCTTACCACATTGTATTTACCAATACCTTGTAGTTTGCTGTTTCAATGATGTGGGTGTGACTGTTGTTTCTTTAGCTTATGTGTCAAATCCCTGGGATCAAGGACTCTGTTTATATTCTGGTGTTTCTCCTCACTTTTAATTGCATCCACCCAGGAGAACGTCTGTGCAGCAGCTCACGAAGCTTGTCAGTCATCCGCATGGACAGGGCCCATCCAAGTAAGTGAAGTCCTCTGAGATATAGTTTATAAGTGGAGTAACCAAATCAATGATATGTTTTCTCTGTGCTTTAGCTCCTCTTCCAAGAACATCTGAGGAACCTCACACGGAGACAGATTTGAACTCCCTGGAAAAGGAAGATGATGGAATTAAATTCGAAGTCAAGGTAAAATTACTTTTCTTTCACTGGTAGAATGGTAGAAATTTCTAACAGCATAGGATATTGCCAGTGTAATTCCGCCCCCCCAAAAAAAGTCAACAAATTGTGCTCCCCTATGATGTACCTATCATCACCTCCAGAAGATGTGCCCATGAAGGCACACAGCACAAAGTAGTGCTCCAAGAGCTGGCGTTTATAGGATTTTTTTTTTCTTTTCTTCTTTTCCTTTCATCTCAATTGAAGCTAGAAATGAATCCTGTTTGATCCTGTATGTACTTGCTGCTAGACAATGTTTTAAGGGAGAAGTCATGTTAGTTACTCTTGTAATCTGACTTCATATTTAAGATGGGTGGAATGGTGTGTAGTTTGTGTAGAAAAAGAGCATGAATGTTGCACAGGGCTACACACACATGCACACACATACCCACACCTGAATAACTGGAAAACCCTAAATAAGCTCTGTGTCGCACGTCAAGTCCATTCTATATTACACTATAGCATATAAGATGTTAACATTGGAGGAGGTAGGGAAAAAGGTATGTGGGACTGCCCTATATATTTCTTTACAACCTCATGTGACTCTATATAATTATTTCAAAGGGAAAAGAAAAGCATACTCTTTGGAATCAGACAGTCCTGGGTTTAAGCATTGTAACTTATATAAGCCTCAGTTTCTAGTGTGTAAAAATGGGGATAACAAGAGCTACTTCCTGGGAATGTTTTGAGCATCACATGAAAATTGGAAAATGGCCAAGCAATGTATGTACAATTGTAAAAGAGCGTTATATTTTAAAACACAAATAAAATGAATTTTAAATATATGTTGCTACAAGGCAAACACAGAAGAGTTTATAAATTAAATAATCAGCTGGCTAAATGGTTCTGAAACCTAAGATCAGCAGACCATGGGCTCAGATGAAGTTCAGTAACAGTTTGGATCCATCATCAGTCCCTGAAGGATCTGAATAGAGGACCTATAACAACTCCACTGACCCGTAAGGAGTCAAGCAGAGAGCAATTCTTAGGCTTTTTTTTCCTGGAAGCAGAAACAGAGTGGAAACTAAAGTTCCCAGCAGACTTCTTAGAGAGAGCAAACTACATTCTTCTGCCAATTAGTCATCCTTTGTATTCTAGGCAGATCAGGATTTTGCTATCTGTTTCCAAATCTCTCTTGGTTGGAGGAATTGCATCCTCCTTGTCTTTTGATTAAGGAAACAGTTTGCATTTCATTCTATATTGATCAGTCATTTAAAAAAGTAAATGTTAATTTTTTGAAATGTGTAAACACAGTGAAACTTCACCTGACTTGACACCCTTAAAGTCTGTGGGATTATTAAAAAGGGATACCATCAGCCTATCCTTCTCTGCACCCTAGAATTCTGGGGGAACATCATCCCTAGCCCAGAAGTATCCCCCTAAACTCTTATGATGTTGCCATTGACTCATGAGACGATTAGAACTTACATCTCTTGTGACTCACTTTGCTTGTCATCAGACAACACATTTATAACCTACACACTTTAAAAAAAATTGTAGGTGTAGATGGATATAATGCTTTTATTTGTTTATTTTTATATAGTGCTGAAAATCAAACCTAGCACCTCACCCAGGCTAGGCAAGCACTCTGCCACTGAGCTACAGCCCCAACCCCTGATCTACATACTTTTTAAAGATACCATGAAAGTTTTAAGTACATGGAGGTTCTCTATAAAAGAATTCAAATTAGAAGTAAATTATTTTAATAATTGTGAGTGTTAAATAGAAGACCTATTTTTGTTGTAAATGAAAAATGAGGAGCAGGGGTGGTAGGTACAGAATCAGAGGCCTCTGGGCTTGGAAAGCATTGGGTAGGACCCAAGAGGCTCTGTCCTCTAGACTGTTGGTTTCTTCCTTCTGCTATGCTGCTGTTTCATTCAGATTCCAAGTCCATTCTGCTAAGGGGCTAGTTCCCTCCATGTGTGTGGGAAGATCACCATCAGCCTGGGTACTGTTAAGCAAGCACATGTGCATGTTTAAATCCTGCTTCTACACTTCCTTTTTCCTTACTATTGACTTGTGTGTATAATAAGGTCTTTTCCCAGAAATGTGTGTATGTTAACAGTCAAGGTGGTGGACGAAGTAAAGACAAGCTAGTTAAACTTTTGCTTGTGAAGACCAATGCTATGAGAGGACTGTAAGCAGAGTCAAACAAAGTCATGAACAACATGAATAGGAAGAAAGTGGATTATGCACAAAATCCCCAAATCCTAAACTGAGAAGTCTAGAACCAATAAGTGCAATTATAAGCTGGGTAGTAGAACCAGGGAAATAGTTATTCCAGAATATGCAAGAAATGTAGTAAGAAACAGGATAGGAAAGAACATGTAATGAATATCTGCATGGACCTCCGCTTTTTAAAAGGGAAAGAAGGAGAGAGCAGTCATTATTGTTATTTACATTTAGTGCCACTGTCTAAGACAGATGACCTGGCTGGATAGAGCAGGCATGCCTCTGAACCTGAGTGGCAGTTCTGACATCCTTTTGGCCTTAGTTCTAGAACTGAAAGATTTTTGAAATGAAGTCACACCCAGTGTGACAGAGTGAGTCATAACATCATGATAAATGCCACCCCTTTCCCTGAACAGTAAATACTCAGAAAAAAAAAAAAACAGCTGTCAATCAAAGCTGTTTATACTTGCTGCTAGAGTCACTGATGATTACCTTTAACTAAAATCATGATATGGTTTGAAATTGTTAGAAGAATCGTTGCTCCAAAAGGCTCTGCCTCTTCGCTGCTGGGGTGAACCTTGTTGTGCCAGTTCTCTGCAACATGATAAGCCAAACCTGACAAGGCAGCTCAGGCTGTCCCTAAGGCAGCTGAGACTGTCCCTCAGCCATCTGGCAACAGTTTTGCCATGAGCTCAGCTCACTGGGAAAGCCCAGAGGTGGAAGAGATTCACTGTGGTTGTTGGCAATAGTGATGTGGCCATTTCCTGTTCTGCGCGTCTTAACTGGAAGTTGAAAGCATGACTCATGGAAGCCCCCTCCCCCACTGCTCACATCATAGCCTCTACGAAAGACAGAAGCCAGAGGCTGACCAAGGGCTTTTTCCTGACTTGCACCCACAAAGGTGCAAAGTGAAGAGTGAACAGTGTATCTGGTCACCTAATAAGTTGTTTAAAGAAACAGAGGCTTTGCAGGCTTCTGAGTAAATAGGCTCCCTAATTTAAAATATATAAATATTTTTAAAGCAAAGGCTAGAAGGGGAATTGGAAAGGCAAGAGGAGCGTGAGCCAGGCACTGTGCTAGGAGCTGTAAAAACCTGATTTCAGCTCCATTCCTCAGTACCTCGAGAGGAGATTGTTAGCCCTGATTTCATCAGCAGTGATGGAGAGACTCAGAGATGCTGAGTTCCCCAATGGCTGTACTACTCATAAATAGTGGAACTGACACTTGAATCAGCAGTTTATTAATCTGACATTGTCCTTGGCTACCTAACTTATCTGATTATTTACTTAATTTACCTAGCAAGCAGTTAATTTCTCATATCCTAAAATCCCTCTTTCGCAAAATGGGGACAAAGAACAAATAATTAGCAATTTCATGGGTAGATGAGCTGGAGTTGAGTAAATGAGGAACTTGTAGAGCCACCTGGCATGATGCCCAACACACAGCAGACTCAGGGAGTTTTAGTTTCTCACTCAATCCTATGTTTATAGATAGAGTGTCCTGTGTAAAAGATGAAAAGAAGCTGAAGGAAAGTTAGATTTGGGCCTTAAATGGAATTCTAATATGCAGGCCTTTTTGCCAAATGAGAACAGATTAGGGGCCATATTTAGTTCCTTGTCTTGTCACTACCTTTAGTCCCAAAAGTTTCATTTAAGCTTTCTGATTCTCAACAAGAGACCTGTGTGAACTATGAACACATTTGGGTGCTCTCCTTCTGATACTTGACAGGAAATTGAGGGACCCCACCAAATTCTTAAGGCACCCCCAACTAAGCTCTCCAGAGAGCTTCCAGAAGGAAGAATCTAAAGGTTTCCCGCACCCCCCCCCCACCCCCAATGCTGAGAGCCTTAAAACAGATCCCCAGACTCTACCACAAAGATTCTGGTTAGGGAGGTCTTGGGTAGGATCCAGGAATCTGAATTTTCCATCTGCACATTTAGTGACAAGAGTGACCAGGATACAATGACCACACTTTTGAAACACTGTGCTAGATCCACAATCATAGGCCATGGGGACTTGGACAAAGGAGGACTCAAAAAATTGGATTTAGATCTCTCTAGCTAATATCGAATTCAAAGTTTAGAGGAGAAAAGTGGCAATTACACTTTGCTCACCAAAGAAACTGAATCAGAAAAAAGAATGACATTAATACCTATACAAAAATCAACATGACTAAAACATTTGATGGATCCAGTTTTGGCAGTTTATTCAGCTCAATTTAATATTGTTTGCAGCAATTTGATGCATTATATGAAAATCATTCTGTCATTGGGCTTAACCTTGAAAACATGGAAATTTCATGGGAGAAACACATATTCAGTACTTTGTAATATAAAATAGAATGACTTACAGTCAACAAAATACAATGTGTTTGAGGGCAGAAAAGGAGCAGTTCATAATAAGGATATTGGGAATGGTTTTCCAAGGAGTGGCACCAACTGTAAAGAATAAATACCACTTTTACAACTGTAAAGAATAAATACCACTTTTAAAGGTAAGTTAGACAGAGAAGGGCGTTCCATGATGGGAAGGATATAAAGTCTCCAAAGTCCGAGGGGTATGGTCTATTCTGGGAATGGTTCAAGAATGCAGAGAAGGTCAGCCAGAGAAAAGATTTTGAAGACTTTGGTAGAGGATTGTTGATGGAAGGAGGAAGGTGCTAACAGGCAGACAGGCTGACACCTGGCAGCAGTTGTCATAGCTCAGGTGAAACTTCAGTGGTGGCAGCAGCAAAAAGGGAAATGGACAGAAATCAAACCCATTGACCCAGTGTTCTTCCCATGCCTAGAACACACTAG